CATATAGTGGAATGAGCACTTACTGAATTAAACTTTTGGGTCTGCCTATTACCAGCTGAGTGACCTTGGCCAAGTTACTTAGCCTCTCTGAACTACAGTTTTTCAATGTAGAAAATGAGAGAATTGGGCTAGATGTACTTGAGGTTACTTCTAGCTCTAATATTCCAGGAAGAATAGTCTATCATTAGATAAGGAGAGTCTTGCCATTGGGATATAATTCCTTAATCCAGAAGATCCCTGGCCCCTCCAGGCCTTGTTGGAGAAAATAAGTGGGAGAGGGCCCCCTAGATCCCCTTGGAAGTTAAATCATGGAGCTTATGCTTTAGGTCATTGAAGAAAGAGGAAACAATAATAAATCAATATGCTAACTCAATAGTCATCAAGTATTAAGTAAACACTTACCAGAAGTCATTAGGTGTGAGACCAAAAAGATGAATGGGTTTCTCTTGGGTTGAAAGATACACGTATGTAACAAAAAAATGACAATTGAGCACTGGTACCTACCAAAGAGGGTTATACAAGGTCAAGTTAAAGAGGGTTATACAAGATCAAGTTAAAGTAAAAATGTGGGAGGAATTAGTTTTGCCTTGGGAAATGGGGATGAATAGAGTTTAGGGTGAGGCAGGGACAGTTTGGTAGGGGTGATGAGTTGACTGATTATCTGTACAGAGTGTGCTATGGGATCTGGTCAGTGGATTTTAAAAGGATAAAATATTTTGATACAGGAAAAGGGGAGATAATTATTAAAAGTTAAATGGGGATTGTATATGAATAAGTTTGGTTAATCATTATAGGTAGCTTAAAACAAAGCAGTTGGGTTTTTCTTGATTAACAGAAAAGAATTCACTGGGATGGTACATGTTGTTATAAAAGTTTTGAGAGATATGCAAAACTCAAGAAATGTAAAATCCACGCAGATGGAAACAAATGATGCCCTCCCAGCAACACTGATAAGCTGACCGAGCTGTAACTTGAACAAGGGAATCATAAAGGACACTGTAGATTGTGTTTCTTGAAAGTGAAATAATGGACCTTACACAGTCTGTCTCAAAACTTTTGTAGTGACCTATGTATAACTTAAGGCAAAAGGAAAGATATACACTGTTCTTGCATGCTCTCTCTCTCTCTCTCTTCTCTCTTTCTCTACACACACAGATTCACACACGCAGAGGATGCCAAAAATTGTATACACATTTTAGGAAAGGAAAAACTGTATTAAAGTGGTAATACTCAAATCACATTTGACTTTGGCAATTACAAGAGGTACAAGATACAAAATACTCAAAATCTTGACTTCAAGTATTCTTGTCAGACCACATTTCCCAATTTTAATCACACAGACATATGACCATGAGAGGTGTTTACCTTAGCACCAAGTGATGGAAAAAATGGGCAGGAGCTTAAAAGTTTGGGAGATATTTAGATTAGATATTTGCACATATTTCAATGTTTTTCAAGTATTACAATGAAAAGTCATGGTCTTTGTTTTTGAAAGACTTTGGGAAGACATTGAAAGAAGTTACAAAGAGCATTCTGATCCAAAAGGTGAAAGCACTTCAAAGAATCACTGAATGTCAGTACTGGAAAGGACTTTATGGATAATCTACTCTCTCATTTCATGTATTCATAAAGTGAGATCCAGGAAGATGAAATTATATGCCAAAATCATCCTGTAAACTGGAATCTTTGCGCTCAAATATAAGACTTCAGAGTTTTAGATGCTGAGTAGAAAAAAAGTTGGAAAGGAACATATTATAGTATCTGCCATCTTGATAGTTGTTTTTTTTTGTTATTTATATTTTTTGTGACAGTCTCAATTTGTGACCCTGGGCAGAATGCCATGGCATCATAGCTCACAGCAACCTCAAACTCTTGGGCTTAAGTGATCCTCTTGCCTCAGCTTCCCAAATAGCTGGGACTACACGTGTACACCACAATGTCCCAATGCCCAACTATTTTTTTTTTTTTTTAGTAGAGACAGGGATCTCTCTCTTGCTCAGGCTGGTCTCAAACTCAAGCAATCTACCCACTTTGGGGTAGTTTTCAAAGCATTGTCTGTAATGTATCTCAGCTTCTTTGAATTTAATCTTGTCAGGGAGTATGGTCCTGCTTGATGGACTAGTCCTGGGCTCAGAGAATCTTCCAGTGTCATAGGGGCAAAAGGCTGAACTCCAGGAAACAGAGGGCAACATCAGTTGCTCCTGTGTGCCAAAGAAAAATCTAGTATTGGAAATCAGAGTAGGAAGTGGCTGATGTCACCCAGGGTAATTCGGAAATAAGAAACTTTTGTGTCCTCTTAAATGATGGAGGAATTTGGCCATGGCCGGAATAGCAAAAGTAAAGGGGAGACAGTGGGAACGAGCCTGCAGTGTCTGGGGTGGGGAGAAACGTGGGTAGGGAGAACTAGATTTGGAGGAGAGGGAAAAAGCAGTCCCTGGAATTCTCTTCTGGTCCTGTAATTCAGATCTTCTTGGTCCTAACTATCATTTTACCAAGGAGGAAGGTGGAGCCAGGAAGAGGCACATCCTTTACCCACAGTGATCCCCTCAGGCAGTGTTTCTTAGAGGAAGAAGGTGTTGGGATAATCCAGCCTGCAATCGGGCTGTCTGAGGACTTGAGGAAGTGCAATGCCACCAGAGAAATTCCGAGGGAGTTCCAGCCCTCACCTGCCCAAGCACATTTCCTTCCTGTGGTATATATATATAAGTAACTGGAAGCCTTTCAGCTGAAGACAGACTGCTAGGAGACCAGAAGCAGGAGCCCTTCCTGAGCACAGGTAAGAGATCATCCCCTCCACTGACACTGCTCACATGGTTCTGGGGATCAGCCCTGTCCTCCCAATCACTTACTTGGGTATGTTCAGGGTCATGTCTCCAGGATCCTTTTCCATGAGAACAAAGAAGGGTTTAATTTTGTGCTTCAATTCCAGCACAGCATTTGGAGCAATGTAGCTCAACAAACGCTGATTGCATTGTTGAACTTCACGTAGGTTTACTACACACCTAAACTAAATTGCAGGAGCACATATCAAATTCTACTGAAAATGCATGGAGCATTCACTGTGTGCTGGGTGTACAAATTACACATTATATTATCTAAATGTTAAAACAAATTTCTGAATTAAGTTTAATGATGACCGTTTGAGGGCCAAGCAAATGAAACTCAGACAGATAAGGGCACTTGTCCAAAGTCACATAGATATAGGGTGGCCAACGCATTTCAGTTCATCTGTGACTTTTCCAGTTTTGAAACTGAAATTCCTGTATCTCAGGAACCCCCCCTGGGTCCTAAGTAAACAGGAACAGTCTACACAGATGGGAACTCATAAAGCAAGAATTTATTTGGACCCAGCTCTCTTCTTCAAACCCAGAGTTCTGTCTGATATTTTTGTGTTTGGTGTGCTGATTCCTTTTTCCTACATTTGACATTATCTTAGGTGGCTGTGAATGTAACAGTTGTCTATCGTATTGCCTAGCAGATAGGAAAAAATCAGTAAGCGATAATGATTCTCAGTGCTGAGCCCACCCATGGCGCCAAGCAAAAGGAAGATATACACAAATTTCTCTCCTTCTCCTTCCCTCTCTCTCTCTTTCTCTCTATCTATCTATATCTACATACACATATACAGAGGGTACCAAAAATATATACACATTTTAAGGAAGGAAACAATTGTATTACAATTGTAACTCTCAAATCATGTCTGAAGTTACAAGAACTACAAATACAACATTAAAGATAACACATGTTATCAGTATATACTGAGTATTACAATTTTAATTCCTTTCTTAAAATGCGTATGCATTTTTTTGGCACCCTCTGTATATATGAGATCTGACAATTAAGTTCACAAACTCATCCTAGAAAAAGTGCTACACACCTCATCGCTGAATATCACTACAGTTGTCCAAGTGGAGTAGACAAGTTCTCTCAAATTCTGTCTTTATTTCAAATTTTGATATTTTGGTCACTGTCATTTTTTTTCATTTAGTTTGATATTGCATTAAAATATTCTTTATCTTAATGACCGAGTTTTTTGGTGGCTCCTTAATTTTTGTGTCCAAGGTGAGCACCTCAATCATCTTTCCCCAACTCCAGCCCCTTATCATTTTATCTTAAAACTCAGCAGACACTATAAACTCCCCTCTTACTGAGCAGCTTCACCCAAGAAGAATTCCTTCATGACCTTTCTTCTCCATCTTTTGGGATCACTTCATCTTTTGAATTGCATGCAAGACCATGAAAGAGTGCGCTCTTGAATTCACTCCGAGTGTTTGACTACTGTCTGCCTGCAGAGGGCGCTGTGAAGTATCAGACAGGAGGGACAGGTATTAGGTGGAATCTGGCTGATCGCTCATCAGATCTTGCCCTTCCCTGGCAGTAGGATTGTTATGAAATAATTGAATTTCTTTTTGCCTTCGGGGCTGAAATGAATCTTTTATCCTCATATAACCCATCTGATCTTGGATGAATGCCAAATAGAGCTAAGCACTCCTGCCCTGTGGGTGTCTATAAAATTTACACAATTTCTCCCAGGTGTTTTTGGTGGCACAGTCATAACGTCTGTGAGATTCTATTTTTACCCAATTCCACCACAGGTCTAAGGGAACCAGAAGGGTGAGCTACATTAGCACCCTGGAAGAGACGGATATGTGCGTCAATTCCCCAAAACAAGTATTGACATTTTCCCTGAAATGTCATCCTCGACTCACTGCGCATGCCTGCTGTTCTGGCTCTCACTTGCTGGGCCATGACGGTGGAGCTGGGATGGGGACAGGATAAAGGAGCCACAACTTGTGGCACCAACTCACACTTGGATGCTGAACGATCACCTGAAGGCTTCTCTTCACGGGAGGCTCAGTAGTATTTCTTAGTAAGTTGAATGAATGGACCACACTAGAGGCAGATAAGACTGTTCAGTTTCCCATAGTGAACACCTGGGGTCTGGACTGGCTTCTTACTGATCAGATGGAGAAATCAGTAAGTCATGTTCTTTCCTTTAAATTTTCAGCTCCTGTTGCCTCCATATTCCAGGCATAAGATGAAAAGCTCTGGTCTTGCATTCAGCCTTCTATCTGCTGTGTTTTATCTCCTCTGGACCCCTTCCACTGGGCTGAAGACACTTCATTTGGGAAGCTGTGTGATCACCACAAACCTTCAGGAAATACGAAATGGATTTTCTGAGATACGGGACAGTGTGGTATGTAAGGGGGACACTCACCTCTCCTGGGTGCCTCTTCTCTCCCCTCCTTATCTATCTCTCTTCCCTGGCAGCACAATCAAGAAAAAAGGTAGGGGGAGGACTCCTTACCAGAAGGATAGATTTCTAAGAAATATCTATAGTTCATAATACAAGAATGTTTTGGAAAGAATGTTGCCTCCCACTGGGCCTTGTCAGGGAGGGGACAAGAGGTCTTGATATCTAAGACCTGATTGCAGTCACTGACCCATCCTTTCTTGCTTCATCTGCTTCTGTTTAGCAAGCCAAAGATGGAAACATGGACATGAGAATCTTAAGGAGGACAGGATCTTTGCAAGATACAAAGGTATGTGGTTGACTCAGACAAACTCCGGGAAGAAGTATGGGGTGGGAGAGCCTCCACCACCTTGGTCTTGTCTCTGTCCTCTTCTCTCCCTTCACCAATATACTTGTCTTCTTCACAGCCTGCAGGTCGCTGCTGCCTCCTCCGTCACTTACTGAGACTCTATCTGGACAGAGTATTTAAAAACTACCAGACCCCTGACCATCATACCCTTCGGAAGATCAGTGGTCTTGCCAATTCCTTTCTCACCATCAAGATGGACCTCCGGCTCTGTGTGAGTGAGGGTCTTGGGTAATAGGATCCATCTCAGCACATAGTTTCAGTGATCTACCAATAAAGCTCTCTTTGCTACCCCCCTTTAATAGATGGAGAGACTGAGCTCCAGAGTTCTAATAATCTGTGTCAAGCCCTGTAACAGAACTGAATCTTATTTTGAGTATATGTTCTATGGAAAAAGTGATTTGCAAAGTCTAGAGAACTATACAATGCTAGGTATTTGATGTAATAATAATTTTCTATTACCCTTGAAATTACAATTTTTCTGTAGATGAGGTATCCTACGGTATACTAGTGCACCCTGTGCCTAGGCAGCCAATCAACAGGCCATTGGACTTGACCTCAGAATATGATCTGAATAGGACCTATGAATTAAATTTTCTTTTCTCATGGGTACTCCAGATGAAGCTCCTAGACTAGAGCTGGTGGAAAGGGCCAGATGAGGTACCATAATCATGAACTCCTTCCTACTGCCTACCTGTTTCTAAAGAGAAACAGTGAGCTCCATATTTGAGCCTAAAAAACCCACTTCATCTAGCAGATGATTAATGATCTAAAATGTTAATGTCTAAAAGGACTTTTCGATAGGAATAGGTATCCACGGGGTCATGGGTGAGAGAATAGAATTCCTATCTGTTTTGTGTCAATGGTAAGGGCAGAAAATCAGAATCGTTCATAAAACGTATCATTCTTTGGGTTCTTTTCAGCATGCCCACATGACATGCCACTGTGGGGAAGATGCAATGAAAAAATACAGCCATATTCTGAGTCACTTTGAAGAGGTATGTGCAATTTTGGCATTGATTGGGATGGGTGTGTTTTTAGAACGGAGATCATTGATGAATGGGATGGGTACACATGCTGGCGGTAATCCTGTGGCCCTCTGCTTACTGTTCTGTGAGGTCATGTGGCCCAGGCTCTAGAAGGGTGCCCTCTCTGGACGATGCTCTGCAAAGGGATGAAAAAGTCCGCTCCAGAGATATCATGATCTTCAGCTGCACAAATGAGAGACAATCGTGTTCCAACGTTCACACATTTATGCCTACCTCAAAAATACTCACAATTTCACACATGTCCATGACATGCATTTTCTCACCTGACACCTCTGCCATCTGCCAGGAAGGCTGGCACTTTACTCCTCACTGACTGACGCCTACACATCCTTTCTGAGAGCCTGGGTGTCACCTCCAAGAAGTTTCTGGCTGATTCTCTAGGAGTTAGGTGCCTCCCCTGTGGTCCTGTGGGGAGCCCCATGATTTATTCACTGCATTACCTTTTAGTTGCCCATTTCTGCCTGACTCCCTCATTCAACTGTGAATCCCTTGTGGGTGGGGATGGTGCCATTCACCTCTGAATCCACAGCTGCCAGCCCAATGCCTGGCACATCAATACCTGTTCTGTTGAAGTATGCACGGTAGGCAACCCCTACACACACACACACACACAAACACACACACCTTTCCTAAAGAAAACAAATTAATTACTTTGATCTCTGTGATTCAAGAGGCTTAGACTGTAGTCCTCATTCTGCTACCCTCCTGGGCCTCAGTTTCTGTATATAAGACAAGAGTGACAGGCTCACTGATATCCCTTCCTCATATAAGGTCTTGAGGGTCTATAAGTAAGGTCTTACTTCTTGTAAGCTCTTTATCTGGAAATGAATACTCTGCTCACAAAGCCCCATAGACCTACCAGTAAGAGAGAGGATTAACCCTGGAGCAAATGTTATCTCTTCAAAGTTCTAACTTGTGAGTGTGTGTCTCTTTCAGCTTGAGCCTCAGGCAGCAGCTGTGAAGGCTTTGGGGGAACTAGACATTCTTCTGCGATGGATGGAGGAGACAGAATAACAGGAGAATGAAGATGCTGCTGGGATTACTCCAAGCCATGAGTCCCAGTCCTCAGACCTGTGGAGGCATAGCCCCAAGCCACCATCTTTTCGCCATAGAAATTTAGTGCTGGGCTCAGCACCTTTGGCTCAAGCGGCTAAGGCGCCAGCCACGTACACCTAAGGTGGCGGGTTCGAATCCCCAGCCTGGGCCCGCCAAACAACAATGATGGCTGCAACCAAAAAATGGCCAGGCGTTGTGGCGGGCGCCTGTGGTCCCAGCTACTTGGGAGGCTGAGGCAGGAGACTCGCTTGAGCCCAGGAGTTGGAGGTTGCTGTGAGCTGTGATGCCATGGCACTCTACCCAGGGGGATAGCTTGAGGCTCCGTCACAAAAAAAAAAAAAAAAAAAAGAAGAAAGAAATTTAGTGCTGGTCACAGTGTAGCTTATTTATTTTTTATTTCCTATGTGGTTGTCTTTATGGTTCCCCCATCTCACTTGAGACCACATTTTTTATGATATTTTTGTAACAACTTATCTACTGTTGGATATATTTATTAGTTATTTAATTTTCCTATTTAACTTATTTATTTTTGTACTTGAACATGAGGCTTTACAAAAATTCACAGATTATATTTATAACTAGAGCAGATTATGTATTTTTCTACAGAAAACAAGTCCTCTCAACTTTGGAAGAGAGCCTAGAGATATTCATTTTTATTAAATTAAAGACATATTTCCTCACTGCTGATGCTGGGTGAGATATTTAAAGTTGAAACAATGGCTGCTTAGCTTGAGTTATGGAAGAAGAAGCTCTGATGTGAAATTGCAGACCTGTCGTACAATTACTGACCACCCCTACTCAATACCCCAGCCCCGGACTTGTGTACCTGCGTGGCCAGCATGTATTTTTACAAATAAAGTGTTTTTTTGTATAATATCTGCTTGAGGTTTGAAAATGCTTTAGGAGCACACATAGAGGTTGAGCTTGAATCTCATTTCACCCAGGACCTTCTTGCTCCTTTGGGGAAGAAGATGCAAGTGAGAACCTGGGCCTTCCCTCTCCTGCAGAATTAATCCTTGCTTCTATCTCTTCATTCACTATCAGCTCCAACCCACAACTGCCCGTCACCTAAAAGGACTGGGATGGAGGTATAGGCTTTAGCCATTGTTTCCTTTCCTGCATTGGTTTTAAGCACTGTCTTCTCCATACCCCTGTTTTCTTCCTTACCCCAGGTTTCCATATTCTTGCAACACAAATTACAATGGGTGTGAGATGCTACTCTAAGAGTTAAGAACACGTAGGTTCTTGCCCAGGAAGGTATATTGGCCCTTGTTTGAAGCCCTCCCATTTTGGATTCTGTCCATCCTCAGAGTTTAGATCGTTGCTGGATCAAATCTTTGTCTTTGTGTCCGGCTATTAAGTCAGTGTTTTCTTTCCAGGCCTCCTTCAGCTTGAGCTTCCCTGGAGTCTGAGGAATCAGACTTCTGGTCTGGCCTGCCCTGGGTCCCTCCTTCCTCCCCCACCTCACTCAGAACTACACCCCTGGTTTAGTAGTTTCATTTCCTTGATCTCAGGGACAACAGACTCGGGCTGCTTTCCTGGCTTCTACAGAGAGTTCTCTTTACGCCTTCAACTTCTGCTCCCCAGCCCTGATATGGTTTTGACAACTTTAACTTTTTTTTTTTGAGACAGAGTCTTACTCTGTTTCCCTCAGTAGAGTGCTGTGGCATCACAGCTCACAGCAACTTCAAACTCTTGGGCTTAAGTGATTCTCTTCACTCAGCCTCCCAAGTCGCTGGGTCTACAGGCACCTGCCAAAATGCCTGGCTATTTTTAGTTGCAGTTGTCATTGTTGTTTAGCTAGCCCAGGCTGGGTTTGAACCTACCACCCTTGGTGTATGTGGCTGGCGCTATAACCACTGTGCTATAGTAACCAGCCTCAGACTCCAGTCTACTATTACTAAGTCAGACTTATAGGAAGTCAGATCAGTATCTTCAGCATTGAGCAAAGGTGTCAATAACCCTCCCCCCCCAAATTGGCTCCAAATGTCTAGAAGTTGATTAATAACTGACAGTGTCCCTAATTTTTATCCCTATTTTCAATTTAGGACCAACAAAAGAAAGCCAAATATCCACCCCTAATCCATCCCAGAGGAAGCCCTATTTCTAGTCAGCTTGCCCCCAGTTTCCCCCTCCAGCCACCAGCCAGAGCGCACCTTTCATTCCACTGGAAACTCTCCCACTTCTCTTCCTTCCTTGGAGTCTCTGCCAAAATGCAGGTTATAGTGACTGACTTACTAAGCAAGTTCTGTAGCCTCTTCCTGTTCTTGTGTGGTTGTTTTTCACTTATTTACGCACTGCATTTGTAAAATAAAAGGGTTGGAATCAATGATTCTGGAGTCTAGAAATTGAATATGCCGTGGTCTGAGGGCACCAGATGTTGCTGCTGCCACTGCTGCCTTCCATCCATCGCCAAAAAGGAATCTGCATGATTTCCATATCGCCAACTTTCAGAGTTAGAGGTAAGTGCACGTGTTTGAGCAGGCCCCTGTGGTGCCCTGGGCTCTGGAGGCCAAGGAGGCTGGACAGACCTTCCCTTTGATGTGAAGTGGGCTCTTTCTCAGGAGAAGAGGCATCCCAAACCTAGGAATGAGGGCCAGGTGTTGGTGACTCAAAAGAATACAAAGAGTTTTCTCCATCCCTCATTTCCACCACAGCTTGGAGTTGTCCAAATTTTAAGGACCAAGGAGGCGGGGGTGCTTTTTGGACTAGTCCACTGTAACTTGTCTGCCTGTCCGTCTCCATACAGATGGAGAGCAAATGGACCATTCACTCACTGGACCCTTAAGTTCCTACAAGGCAGGCCTGGTTTTTTTTCCTTTCCCCAGCTTTTTAGCCTGCCCCATCCTCCCTCCTCTCAGCACAGCATGACACTTTATCATAACATACATTATTAAAAAAGACTGAATTCCAAAGCAAGAGAAATGAAAGAAAAAATAAATTAAAAGAAAACGAATTTTGTAAGTGGCCCTTTGCTAATTTTTTCAAGTCAAAGACTTCTGATATTTGCTGGAAAATGGAAAATCCGCCCTGTTCTGTAGACTGGCCTTGCTCACAGGAAGCCGTACAATAGATGGTGAAAAAATGACTGAATGCAGCCACTCTTCTATTTCACTGGAAGGTTAGGAAGAGAACAGGTAACACGTGCCAGTTCAACTCCACTGTCATGAGTGCAATGAGTCACTGCTTTACGGGAAGAAGGTAGGACTGAGAGCCCCAGAGGCAGGAAGCTATGAATTACAGGACAGACAATACCTTCTTGAGTGTGTACTTAGTCTTACTGAATGTTAGAAGTGGGAGGGAATATAGTCTTCACAGAGAACCCGGTAGATACTTTCAGAGGGTAGCTGTGGTTCACAGAAAGAAGGTGACTTGCCAAAGATTACACAGTGAGTGATAGTAGAGTTGGCAGTACTGTACTTCCAAGACTTCTAAAATCTCAATTCAATTTAAAGAGAAATAAAACTTAACCACATTGGGAAAGAAAAAATGTCTGTGTTTGTAGATGACATGCTTATCTAGGTAGAAATAGCCAATGGAATCTACAAAAATCTACTAGGACTAACAAGAAAGTTTGGTGAGGTTGCAGAATACAAGATCAATATACAAAAATCAATTATATTTTCATACACCAGCAACACACTATAGGAATATGAAATTTAAGAAATTACTAATCATAATGGTCATCCAAAAGTTGAAATTACTTGGAGGTAAATTAAGAACAAAAAATTTAAAAGCTCTCTACATGAAAGTGGTACACCATTGCTGAAAGAAATTAAAGATGATGGAAATATGAACCATATTCCTGAGTTAAAAGATACAATAAATGCTACCCAAATTAATGTCAGTTATCCCCAAATTAATCCGTAAATTCAATGCAATCACAATAAAAATCCCAGCAGCCTTGTTTTAGGTAGAATTTATAAAATAATGTTAAAATAAATTAATTTTTAAAAAGAATATTATTTTTGATAAACAAAATACCACCAACCTAGAATTCTATAACAAGAGAAGAATTCTTATTTTTTTTTTAATTTGGAACTAAAAAAGGATTATGTTTATTGAGGGCAAGGGGATGCAAACAATGTAAAAATCAAAAGCTCATCTGGCATTTAATTAACTTTTCCTTCTCTGCTTGAGAAATGGGAGTTGGATTTTATTTGTATATATTCTAAGGATCCGGATCTGCTCCTGAAATCCTTATCCAGGGAGAAGCTGTGGGGCAGATGTTTGAAGCAGTCCTTTGAGAGAACACTTTTCAGGCAGGGTAATTGCTCGGTTCTGCCTACTTCTTGCCCTTCTGCGTCATGTGTACTACAAAATAGTCATTGCACCTGATGGTGATGGCTGCAATTGGGGGAGAAGAAGCTCCGGAAGCCCACTTTGCCATCTCAACACTGGTCCAGGTCTTTCATTATTTTGTCTAAGGCCAGAGGATCTTTTCTATTTTCCAAAAATCTGGGGAACTCCTTCTCCATGAGCATTCTGAGGTCTTCCTTTGTTAAGTAGCCTTTATCCTGGGCAAATTTGTGAAACGTGAACATCATGGTTTCCATGGCGTGCTCCATCTGAGATGGCATTTTGGTGAGGTCTATTGAAGTCTGGGCAGAGAGTCAGCAGTGGATGCTAGCTGGCTGGGGCACGGGGTGGTGAACAGACAAGAGAAGATATTCTTCATAAGAAGATATTCACCATCTCTTTATCAAAGTTTCAACTATTTTTCTTTTTTTGCAAAAACAGACAAGCTGATCTGTATTAGTTGGGGAGTCTCCAGAGAATCAGAATCAGCAGGATATGTGGATTATATCTCTATAGTGGGTGAGTTATCCCAAGATCTGCAACTGGCAAACTGCAGCCCCGGGAGAGCTAATGACATAGTTCTAGTTGAGGGACCAAGACCTGAGAACCAGGAGAGCCAATTTTGTAAGTTGTAGTCTGAAAACCAGTGTCTCCGATTGAAGACAGCCAAGCAGGGAGAGTGAATTCTCCCTTGCTCAAAGATTCTATTCAATGCCTTCAATGCATTTGATGAGACCTACCCACATTAG